TTTCCTTCCTTCCTTTTCCCTTCCTTCCCTTCTTCCTTCTTCTTTTATTCCTTCCTCCCTCACTTTCTCCTTCCCCTTCCTTTTTCTTTCTTTCTCTCCCTCTTTCTCTCTTTCTCTCTTTCTTTCTTTCTTTCTTTCTTTCTTTCTTTCTTTCTTTCTTTCTTTCTTTCTTTCTTTCTTTCTTTCTTTCTTTCTTTCTTTCTTTCTTTCTTTCTTTCTTTCTTTCTTTCTTTCTTTCTTTCTTTCTTTCTTTCTTTCTTTCTCACTCTGTGCTTACATTCCCACTAGAGGGCAGATGTTTCCCACAGATAAAATCTACAATACTCACAATGAGTTTCAGTTTCTGTAGGCATCACTCCTCCCTTCTCAGCACTCCCTCCTATGAGCCCACCCTCTCCCTGCCAACTACCATCTAGTAAGAACCTCCTCTCTCTCCTTCCCCATTTCTTTATCTCAGGTTACCTGCCCCCTCCCATGTCCTCTCAAGGTCCCACATGTATCTTTTGGGAATGGGGGTTGCAGAGAAAGCCATCAATAGTTTTTTGTTTTTGTTTGTTTTTTTAATGAGATGTCTACTGCTAGTTCTTGCTGCCTTCCAAATGAGGGAGAATGGCCAGGGATCAGAGCAGACATCTCCTAGGCAGACAGGACTCATGATCTTTCATCTGGCAAGAAGAGAGTGGCACTTTATATTTGGAGTTGGCTCCGTTCAGAATTCCTGAAAAGCAGGGAGGATAACCTTGGCTGAGCACCCCTGGCAACTGGCAGGAGACTGAATCATTGATTGGAAAGATGTTGCTTATGGAATAATTCTTGTGTTATTGTCACCTTGAAGGGGATTAGTCTAGATCTGAAGTTGCTCACATCCCCAAACCCACAGATTAGAGACTCAGTTCTGCTCCTTGAATCACAGGCCATTAGGGATAGGCAGCTGCTTCCTCCAGACCTTTACCAAGGAAGCAATTTTCCTGGCCTTCCCACTGCATCTCCTTCTCATTTCAAGTCTCATCAAGAAATATCTTTTCCTCCTTCCCTGGATCTCTCCTTGGGGATTATTTCAAAGTGACCCAATGGTACTCTTTGCAGCATCTTTTTATACACAGATCTTTTTATACACAGACTGCGCAGTCCATGGATCTGGGTACCTCCAAAGGCACTGCAATGCCTTTCTCTTGTATATTGAATAAATCCTCTTGCTTAGACCTGTAGGCAGGGCTGATCTGCCCAATGAATAGATAACATTCCCAGCAAGGTTTCTAGGATGGCTACAGGAAATATACACATGCATACGTCGATTTCTACCAAGAACCTATCTGTAAGCATGCACATAAGTATGTGTAGGCATTCCACAGATATATGGGTGCATGTGCCTGAGAATGGAAAGTGGTCTCTCCATCCAGCCACAGTACCCAGAGTGAGGCTGTCGCTGCTGTGGTACAGGAGCTCCCCTCATCCCACCTCAAACATACACACAAACACACACACACACCATTAGCTCTCAGCTCATGTCTGAGCACTGGGAGAAATAGCAAAGCACTGGATCTCAGCCGCAGAAGCAACTGAGAACAGCACCTTCCTTGCTCCCAGATGATGCCCTCTGCCTCCCTGCAGCTCAGAGCAGCCTTTTTGCTGTCACTCAGGTTCCTACCAGTGGAGAGATTAGTATTCAGATGGAGGATAAAAAAAATATCAGGTCAGCTACCTCCTGTCTGCTTTCTGAGCCAGGATGCAGAAAAATAAATATTCAGTGATGTGAGGACAGGGCAGGCACACGTGGGGAGAGAATTTGACTTCTTGGCTTGGGGGGGAGTAGTGATGCCCTCCTTGCTCACTGTCCCAGGGAAGATGTGGATCAATTTACTGGCCATAAGGACAGTGACAAAGAATAGAGTTTTATCATCAGGGAAGGTGGGGGGAGGAGAAGGAGGTATTCATCCCAGGAAGCAGCGGCTTACTTTTCCCATCCTTATCATTTCACTGCCCTTATCCCTACATCTCTGACTTTACGCTCAGCCTCAGCTACTCCTTGTCATTCTGATTTGGAGTCTTAAGGTGTAAATAATTTGATCACTTTTTACATGAAGGGGTACAGGGGTGGGGAACTTGCAGCCTCAAGGCCACATTTGGCCTTCTAGGTCCCTGGGTATGGTCTTTTGACTGAGTCAAAGTTTTATAGAACAAATCCTTTTATTAAGGGGATTTGTTCTGTGATGTTTGGATTCAGCCGAGAAGCCACACTTGAGGACCTAGAGGTCACATGTGGCCTTTAGGCCCCAAGTTCTTCACCCCTGGGTTAGGAAGCAGAAAAGAACCATACCACACAGTAGGCAGGGGCAGGATCACCCAATAGCACCTAGGGGAGGAGTTAGGGACCCAGATGGTCCTTCCAGTTCTGTCTATCTTTCTGGCCTTAGCTACCATTGAGGGAGGATCTTTCCAAAACCCTCTTCTCATTACATTATGCCTTTTTCTCCTGGTGGGAAGGAAAGTGTCTGTGGGGACACTCATAATAAGTCAAGACTTGGGTTTCCCCCCTCCCATTCCCAAACATCTTCTTACAATTCATGTGTATAGAAGAGGGATGAAGTGACAGATAATGGGAAGGTCACATACATACATACATGTATATGTATGTGTGTGTATCTTTATACACACATACACATGCATGCACATACACATATATATGTGTATATATATGTATATATATATACACATATATATATATATAGAGAGAGAGAGACAGAGACAGAGAGAAAGAGAGAGAGACAGAGAGAGAAAGAGAGAGAGAGAGAGAGAGAGAGAGAGAGAGAGAGAGAATGCTTTCCCAAGTGGTCAAGGGTAGGAATTGGGGTACAGGAAACCTAGGGAGCCCCAAGCACAACTTTTCTGGAGAAGCCCTCCTGGCTGAAGGAGACACAGCTTTCTGCAGCAGGAGAGGCAAATGTGCAGATTATGCTGAGAACCTGAGGTGGGAGAGGCCCCAGGAATAACACGAAACCGTGGGACGGGTGTAGGGGGAAGGTGTAAACACAATCTGCTCCCCCCACAGCCAGCCTGCTTGCTGGGGGAAAGCTTTCATCCTGCCCAACACACATGTCCTCCCAGCTGCCAAGGCCTAGGCAGTCTCCTAAACCCAGGCAACCAATCCCACCACCCTCCCCTCTGAGGAGTCCTCTCAGTGGTGGAGCAGGAAAGACCACTCCCCTAGAACTTGGGCCTCGTGATGATGTCCCACAGGAGAACCAGCCTTGTAGATCCAGTACCAGGCCTTGGGTCCTGACCCAGCTCCATCCCAGGAGGGAATGACCAGGGGAAACTATAATGAAATGACAGGAACATGGTGAGGAAATCAAGCAAGAGAGATGAGATCACAGGACCCTGAGACCCGGCCAAGGAATGCTGCCCTCCTGCGAGAAAGCTGTCATTAATGAGGGAGCTGCCACCCAGGAGGATGACAGGCTGACAGACAGAGGCAGGCAGCCATAAACAAGTCCTGAACTGAAACAAAAAAAATATGTTTTTCTTTTCAGCACCTTCAGAACTGATTTTCTAAATGCTATTGCTTCAATTCCCTTTTAATATGAGGGCCTTTCCCTAGAGATTTGCTACTTTCTCCATCCCTCTGAAGCGGACTTCCTCTCCTCTCTGCTCTGTCCTCCATCTGCTCTCCTCTTCCCTCCTGAGCTGGAGGGTTCTGCCTGGAGAAACTCTTCTGTCACTGCTTTCATTTTTATAAACCAAAAGGACAGCTGCAATGGGTAGAAATGGTCCACAGAAGCCAAGTGCAAAGATACATACACTCCTAACCCCGGCAGTGGCAGGGGTGGGGGAGGGGGGAAGATTGGGGGACTGCCACACATGCTGGCATTCTTTTGAAGATTAATGGCCATGAGACAATCAGGAGCAGCCGCCAGGATGGCTCATGTCTGAATCTCTAAGCAGAAACAGAAATGTGCTTTTACCTTTGCACAGGGTCATGAAGGATTGTACTGAGAGAAAAATGGCAAAGCGATTGGGGGTGGGGGAGAGAAGCAGCTGAAGTTATTCGGCAGTAAGCAAACTGTCCCCCAAAGTATTGTCTCTCCCTTTCCATACTTGCTATTTTGCCAATCAAAAGACATATGCATCAAAAACAAACAAAAAAAACCACAACCACTTTTTGCCTTATCTCCCCAGATACATACATATATACATATATATGTACTTACATATATATGTACATACATACATACATATATACACACCTTCCAGCATAAATACAGACATACTTCACAGCATATATTATACTCCCAATATACATACACCTTTCATCATCCACTTCCCCTAGTATACACACACACACACACACACACACACATACGTCTTTCAGCATTCATGCTCTTAGAATACATTCAAAAGAGGTATTTGTGAGCTGTCCTCATTCAATTTCAGGCAGACATGTCACAGATGCTACTGGCATTTCTTTCTCACAGATCATCTTAGCAAAATAGCCAGAGTCTGAGTGAGCTATGAGGACTGGAGAGAGGAAGATGCTGTCTGAAGTGAGCGACAACCATGTTAAATTGTAATCAACACTACTCTTGACAGAAAAATGAGATTTAATATTGCTCTCAAACAGATACGTAAATGCTGTCAGCCAAACAAATTCCAGCCCTCCCTCATTCAGTGGACAGTTCTCATGTTGTTATAGATCCCAAGGATGCTTGGATGCTCTGGGATCGCATCCCCCCCCACCTCTGAGTCTGACAATAGTCCAAAGAGCTCTGGGTAGCTCTATCCCTAATGGCTCCTCCCCACCAGGTCTTGTCAAATTGTTGACAGTTTCTGAGAAAAGGGGAGAGGTTCTAGTGACTAGAGATTTTCAGCAGTTCCCTCAATTCCAACACCTACCCTCATGAAAAACAGTCCATTTAAGGGGGGGAATATAGCAATAGAAAGTATGCATCCATTGGTGCTCATTTTCATGGCTGACTACTGCTCCACCATGCAGCAGGCTTCTCAAGAAGAGGGAGGACCAGGGCTTGAGCTGAAATGGAAGACCAAAATATAAATGTTTCCAAACTTATGACAATGCTGTATTTCTGGATACATTCCTCAACCCTGACCTCCCCACTTCCTCATTCTAACAAATACCACTCCATACCCCCTCAAAGCTGAGGCCCCTTGTCTCAAAATCTAGAGTCATGGCTGGATGCCTTATTTATGTCTCTAAAGCAGAGATCTCCAACTGTCTTGTTGAAGAGGCATTATACTTCTCTGCTTAGCCCTAGAGGGCAGAACTAAAATTAATGGGTAAGTAGTTGCAGAAAAGAATATTTAGGCTCCATATAAGGACAAACTTCTGAATCATTAGGGTCTCCAAAAAGTATGGGGAAGTAGTATGTCCTTCCTAATGAGTGATAATTAGTCAGTGAATGATCATTAGTCAGGAATATCATGGAATGAATTCTTGTTCAGTTCTGCATTGGACTACATGGTTTCTGAGATCCTTCCAGTTCTGAGATTCTGGAATTTAAAAATATTTTCAAGTAAACAACTGTCATATGAAACCAAATCCTTGCTCTTATTTCCATATGCTCCCATGTTAACAACTATTTTGTCTTTTTTGACAGCAGGATAATTTTCCAATAGATACCCTCCACCAATGAATCCCCTTTAGTAACAAAGAAAAATTTGAGCAAGACCAAACAGAAAAGGTTCTGACACCACCTCTGACAGTATATGAGATATTCCATGCCTGTAGTCCCCCACCTCTCACTGAGAGGAGAGGAATATTTCCTCCTCTTTTCTCTAGGACTAAGATGAGCTATTGCAATTGACCCAAATCTGAGTTTGACAGCATGTTAGTGTTATTTTCATTTACTCATTAATTTTTTTTTCATTTTTTATCCTCTACCCAGCCTGCCTAGTACAGCCTTGTGCACGTAGTTTGTTGAATCAATGAATGGTTTTGTCCTCCTTTGAAGTCTTCTAACTTTGAACTACTTGACACTTTGAATCACTTTGGTGCTTTTCTGACTAAAAGATTGAACTATTGGAGGGAAAATGATGAGCTGAGAAGTAGGGAAACAGTAGGCAAAAAAGCACAGATTTTTGCTGTGTTCATATAGTATATATTAAGACCTGTAAGGCACCTCAGAGGTCATGCTGTCCAACTCCCTCATTTGGTAGATGAGGAAACCGATTTGCCAGTAGTAACACAGATAATAAGTGACAGAGCCAGCACTGAAGCCTAGATTCTCTAACTCCAAAGCAAGAACTCTCTTCTGGCATTTTCCCTCTTTTAAGCCTGATGGAAATATTGCAGGCACATGCTTATAGCAAGCTATTCATCAAACTGGCTCTGGAAACAGAAGACAGTTCTGGTTGCTCAGTTGTGTCTGACTCTTCATGACCCCATATGGGGTTTTCCTGGCAGAGATACTGGAGGGCTTTGACATTCTCTTCTCCAACTCATCTTACAGATGAGGAGCTGAGGCAAACAGGGTTAAGTGACTTGCCCAAGGTGACACAGTTACTAAGTGTCGGAGGCCGGATTTGAACTCAGAAAGATGAATCTTCCTGACTCCAGGCCCATTCTATCCACTGTGCCACCTAGCTGACCAATAAAATCAGTAGCTACTACCTAATCCCTTACTGATCACTCAAAGGAGAATTCTCAGAGAGCAATAAGGTGTGTGCCCCTAGGGACTGTAGGATAACCCATTCTTTGTGTCTGACACATAGTATGTGCTTAATAACTGCTGGTTAACTGACTTTATCATTAGGGAAGGGACCTGTGGTGGGCCAAGACTTTACAAGCTCTCTTGACCAACATGGTATTATAATCATGCTGTTCTAGGACCTGGATTTGAGTCTTGGCTTTGCTAATTACTACCTATGTGACCTTAACCTCTCTGGGTCACAGTTTCCTAATCTGTAAAATGACAAGATTGAACTAGATGACCTATAAAGTTTCATTCTAATTTTAAACCTATGATCTTGTGATTATATGGCCTACTTTGGGAATATCTTCCCAATATTGGCCTTGCACATAGTGATGAGTGAATTAATGAAAAAGCATCTATTAAGTGCTCATTATGTACAAAAGCACCTTGCTTTATGATCAAGCAATATGTGGAGATTGATTAATTGATATTCATCCATGGGCATAGGGTCCTTATGACCAGAGGAACTATTTCATGCTTTGGAGGACAAGAGTCAGATCAGGGATAGAGAGGCCACCAAGTTTTCAGAAATATTCAGTTCTCAATAGGACAAGTGGCCCCAGCCCAAGGAAGAGTTAACATCTGATGGCCACACGAGGTGGTGTCCTACCCCACAGGGGCTGCCTAGCCAATGGGACTAAGTACTGATGATGTCATACTCCTTCAGCTCCTTCTATTGGGGACATGACATCAAATCCTACTGGAGAGTTCAGGCAAGAGAGAGCTACAAGCTGCTAGGATTGGGGCGGGGGTGGGGAGTGGGGATGGAGAATGAAGGGAGGCAAAGCTTTGGTCTCAGCTATTCTACACTATCACAGTGGGCTAGGGCACAAGGGTTACTCCAGAAGAGACAAGACAGGCATGATGGAAGATCTTTGGGCAGGCTTTTTCCAAAACAGGAAGGGAGCACAGGGAGGAGGGGAGGTGGAGCAAAGGGAAAGGAGGAGAAAAATGAAAAGCTGCTAGAATCCAAATTTGAGCAACCAAACAGCCAGGACAATGTGCATTTGGCTGTATGTGAAACTAGAGGAAATATGCAGTCTGTCTCCTTTTCCACAGATAGTTAAAGAAAATTCCTTTCACAGTCTACTTCAATAAGAGTAGAAGTAGACTTCTTATTGAACACCTTAAAAAACCTTCCCATGTCCCCATCTGAATCTCACCTGCTAGAGATCCCTTGTCCTTTGTCTAAGCTGCTGGCAGTTGTCTCCTCTGATCCATCCACCTTTCTGGGGTCAGCAGAGGGAGTGGGGGGATGGCAAGGTCACAAGAGGTAATGGAGGCAAATTGGAGGGTGGTGTATCAGGTCCCCTCTCCCACCTCCTCCCTCCCACAAACTCATGCCAAATATACAGAATAGGACTGTGCGAACCGCGGTCCAAGGTCATTAAATTCTCCCAGAAGGGATTCTCATCACCCTGACTTATGTATTTATAGGGATTTGAGGGAGGACCACAGTTCCTTCCACATGGAAAGAAGGAGAAAAGTGTTCCCCAAACACCCTCAGTCTCCCTCCCAGGTTTCTAGCTAGCACCCACCTGGCTTCAACTTCACCCCACCCCAGTCGTTAGAAGGTGCCCATTGCTTACGGATGGACCTGATTGCTGAAGTACCTCCGCCAGAGCATGATCAAAGTACTGAGCACAAGGAACGTGGTACACATGCCTCTCCTGCCCCCATTCCCGGTCCAGAGTAAGGGTGGGAAGGGGCCCCACAGTGACGGAGCCCGGACAGGCCCTGTTTTCTCCTGCTAGTCCAGTAATGCTCTGTCTTGAGGCTCCCTTGGTTGTTCCCAAGGCTGGATTAGGAGGATAAGGCTGATTAGTTGTGTCAGCAAAATCACCCTCGGTGGGGTTAGTTAATCTGGTTGAGGTATTTTGAGGAGAGTGGAGGAAAGAATGGCAGTCCTTCGGGTGGGACAATAAACGTCAGGTTCATTAGCAGGCCTCACTCAAGTGGCCCAAACCTAAGACTGAGAGAGAGAGAGAGAGAGAGAGAGAGAGAGAGAGAGAGAGAGAGAGAGAGAGAGAGGAAGAAATGGGAAGAGGCAGGGTCGAGGAATCAGCACAACTAATCCCATCCTTTTTCTTCCTTTAGTATTTCCCAATACTAAAGCAGAAGCAGGAGGCAAGGTAGAGAAACTGATAGCCCAGGACTCTGAGGGAATGATAACTGGAGTGCTGCAAAAAGAACCCCAACCTTAGAGAATGTTGAAACTGGAAGGGACCTTGGAGCTCATCTTGGTCTACCTTTTCCTTTTTACAGATGAGGCTGCTAAGGCTCAGAAAGATTACGTGACTTACCTAAAACAGCACTATACCCAGATCCCCTTAGGTCTAGATCTGGGGTTTATTTCCACTATATCAAACTACCTCTGTAGAGGCCTAAACTCCACTGTTTTCAGTTCCTTTGGGGAAAAGGATGGAGTTAACTGGAACTGGGGACCTGTCTGAGACTGCAATTTGCTAATACTTAAATACTCAGAAATCTCATCTGACCCGGTGGAGAAAGAGGAAGGTCAGTGAAGTAAACAGCAAGAGGGAAAACAGTGGTCATGTCTCATTGACCTTTCTGTGCCTAGCACAGCATTATTTACTGAAGGTGCTTAATATGGTGGAGAGAGAGACACAGAGAGAGATGCAGAGACAGACAGACAAAACTTTTGTAACTGTTTGAACCAAAGGGATAGGCTGAAAAGAGGTTTTGAAGAGGACTGGAGGTAGCCAGGAAGAAGTGAGAACTGAATATGGAGCCCCTTCCCAGACATTAAATACTGCTTCTACTTCTAGGGAAACATCACTTAGGAACTTGAGGGTGATTTGAAGGAAGGTCTTTGACCTGCAGTTTGAGCTGAGTCTCTGACAAGTAGACAGTCAGAGACATCAGAAGACTCTGTAGATTCGGGGAAAACCATTTAGATACAGTTAGGCAGTATAGGCCTGAAATCTATCTCCTGCAGTATCTCTTCTGGAGCCTCTGGAGTCACCACCTCAGGGTGATTTAGAGTTGCAGGCCCAACTCAGGCCCAAGCTCATCCAGAGAGGGGCTTTGCAATTAGGCAGGGGAGTGGAAGAGGACCGGGTAGTTGGAATAGATTAATGTCATCAAGCTAGACTTCTTCCCTCAAGGACCCTTTAGAGATGGTGGGGAGACCTGAGTTCCCTCCTAATTCTTCCCCCAGCTCCATTCAGGTTTCCTTGTTCTTCCTAAACTAGACACAATCTTTCCTTCCCAAGTCTCATTTCTCTGACCTCTCTACTTCTCTTGCATATTTATGGTGTCCAAGTTTAAAGTTATTTGTATTCTATTCCCTCAGTAGACTGCAGACTCCTTGAGGCCAGGGATTATCTTGTGCCTCTTTTTGTATCCCTAGTGACTGTCATGTAGCAGGTGCTTCGTAAGTTTACTGAACTGAATTGACGGCAGAAACTCTGTATCTTCCCACACTCATCACAGATGACAATTAATAAATGTTTGTTGAATTGAATTGGATTGGATTGGGAGAAGGGGTCCGGATCTTGACCCTTTGATCCACTTCAGAACCTCTGGCCCTCCCCTACCAAGAAGACTCTCTTCTTCGGTTGCTGCCTCTCTCAACTTCCACAGGACTTTCCTCTGCCCGCAGCCCTAGTCCCACAGCTGGGCCTACGGACAAGGCCTCATTCTTGGTGCTTTTCCACGTTTCTGCTTTTTGCTTGTCTTCTCTAACACAGCCTCCTAAAGAAACCCAGCAGGAGTTTATCAGCATCACTCTGTGTAGGCGTTGGCTAAGGACTGCGGGGAGGTGGGAGGTTAAGACAGGAGAAGGGAAGTTGTCCTCTGCTGCTGGGAGCTGAACCTTCTGTTCGCCCGAGTTTGGCCCCAACTCCGACAGTCACAACCTAGCTACCCCCCACACCCTAAGGGCAGTGAAGCAACTGAGAAAAGCCCTGAGTCATAAAAGCTGCTCAGCTGGCAGAGGGTGGTGAGACTGGGGCGGGGCGGGGAAGAGTTCTAGCGGCCCGAGGTATCTATCTTCCTGCTGGGAAGAAATTGGGGAGGAAGGAGAGGGATCCCATCCAGCAGCTCAGACCCGTTACAGGAGCGGGCTCCGGCGCGGGGGTGACGCAGGAGGGCTTTCAATCCTTCAAACCCTGGGCGGAGGCAAGAGCCGGAAAATGCCGGTGGTGAATGTTGGACTTCGAGTCAGTTCACCCGTGGTGCGAGGGACGCGCGCAAGAATGCGCGAGGGCGTGCGCGCACACGAGTATACACACCACACACACACACACACACACACCGATTCCGCCACGCAGCGAGACACACGCGCACAGACACATATGGACACGACGAAGCACGCGCGCGCTTGCACACACATACATTGCCACTGACAAGCCACGCGGAGTGACACCCATCCTGAGTCGCCCAGACACACCAACGCACACCTACACAACACACGCACGTTCTGGGCTGAGGGGAGTGCTTAGAGGGCGCGAGTCAGATCTCCCACTCCCCAGCTCCAATCCCAGCCCATTCACTTCTCTGGTTGGCGGTGCTGGGAATTTTTCCCCCTCCGGCCGACCACATCCCCGCCCCCAAGATCCCCCCACCCACCCGTCTCCCGCCCCCTGCTCCATATACATATACACGCACGCAGAGAAAGGGAGGGAGGAGAGAGAGAGAGAGAGAGAGAAAGAGAGAGAGAGAGAGAGAGAGAGAGAGAGAGAGAGAGAGAGAGAGAGAGAGAGAGAGAGAGAGAGAGAGAGAGAGAGAGAGAGAGAGAGAGAGAGAGAGAGAGAGGAGAGAGGGAGAGAGGGAGAGGGAGGGAGGGAGGGAGAGAGAGACTGACACTGTCCCTGCTACAGCCAGAGCGCACGCACCGCGATTCCCCGGTGCCCCGGGGTCTCGGCGTCCATCTGGCTCTCTGCAGCGGTGCCGCGGCTTTCCTCAGTCCCACTGCTCATGGAGAAAGTGCCGGGTGACATGGAGATTGAGCGGAGGGAGCGGAGCGAGGAGCTGTCCGAGACCGAGAGGAAGGCGGTTCAGGATACGTGGGCCCGGCTATATACCAACTGCGAGGACGTGGGGGTGGCCATCCTGGTGAGGTGAGTGTCATTCCGGGCCCTTGACCTAGCCCTGATAACGCCCCCGCAGCTACCCTGACTCCAACCTGGAGCCCTAAGAAAAGGCATTTGGTGAGGAGATAGCAGGGGTCAGCTTCTGGCTCCAAGCGCCCCAACGCAGTTTGAGGGAGGGGGTCGTGGCCTCCGGTGGGCTTCTACGCGGAGAGGACTAAGCACCGGAGGTGAACCACAGACTATGGGATTTCTCTGGCATTCGGGGACAGCAAGGAAAGGCACAAGAAGGCTGTGGGGAAGGGGCCAGCTAGGCATACCATCTCTGCCGTTTCAGGACTCTCTCCATCCAGACCTTAGCAAGTGAACCTCTATCGCAGAACAGTGCCCCCCCCCACCTCCCCCACCTTACTCTCTTCCTTTACCCAACACCACAGTCAATATTCCAGCAAAGATTTAACAAGCCCTAATTTTGCCCCACCTCAAATGGGGACAAAGGCTGTGCTTTCTCTATTTTGGAAATGGGAAAAGTGAGAATCATGGAGGGAAAGGAACCAAGAAGGAGTTTACATCTCCTACCTGGTTAAAAACCACTTGACTGAAGTAAACAAAAATTAGGAGAATAGGTCAGAGGGCATGACCAGTTCTGATTCAGGCCTAACACCCCTGCCTATCGACCCTGATTTCCTTCCTGTATCCTCACATTCACCCTATTTCAAAGTCTTCTCCATCTCTTCCCTTCCTCAGGCCTGTTAATCTGGGTTCTAACATCCTTATACCAAATGAACAGGACCAAGAGCTAAAAAAGATGACCCTTCTGATGGATCTGCTTTCATACCCAAGACAGGAACCCTTGAACATATGAAGTCACCTTCCCTCCTTCCAGAGTAGGAAAAGAGCTTCAGGAGGAAATTCCCTATCTTCTTTCTCCTTTCTGTCCTCCTCTGACAGAAAGGAAAGAAAGAAAGAAAGAAAGAAAGAAAGAAAGAAAGAAAGAAAGAAAGAAAGAAAGAAAGAAAGAAAGAAAGAAAGAAAGAAAAGAAGGAAGAGGAGAGAAAGAGAAAGGAGGGAAAGAAAGAAGGAAGGAAGGAAGCTACGGTCCAGAAGGGCCCCACCCTGCACCCTTATCTCTTATCTAGTTACATACCCACACATCTACCCAAGTTACTCTCAGACATAGAAATGATATTGCTCTTAACTACCTAGAGTCTCCTAGACCCACACATAAGTGACAGACACCATCACATGCTAAGATTGCAACCCTTTCTCCAACACATGCAAGCAGTTCCCTGGTACAGACTCAGCTATTAAGCAAGATGCCCTGAATCTAACTTAGATTTCTGGGTAAAAGGGAAAAAGAACTCTCCTGATAAAATTAGAGGAGGTCTCCTGATGAAAGAAAATCTATGGAGCGAGCTCTAAACCCAGACCAGAAACCACAAAGGAACAAACTCGGGCACAGTGGACCTATAGACTTCCAGAGAAACAGATATGCATGTGCCTAGATCCACATAAATAGGCTTAGTCTACAGGATATGTTCATAATGCCCTAGATTGTACATCCATAACCTTGTTCTTACTCACACGTGCACATATGTGCACCTAGCCCATAATCTGGCAATAGATGACTGAAGCTAATGGGAGAACAAGAGTTTGGAGAATCAGTCATCCCATATTGGAGGAGACTGAATCACCCCAGGAATGGGTGAAGTGAAGGGGGAAAAGGATGAAGCCAAATCCTGAGGGTAGTGACATGTCTAGGCATCTTTAGGCTCAAAAGATAAAAACAAACAACCCCCCCCCAGTTCTTTCCTATCTTATCTTTAGCTCCCATTCCTACTATGGTACTTAATCCCCACTGGAGGGTCAACAGTGACAGTTGCAATATGAAGGCAATAATTGGGCAGCTGGGTACTATAATGACTAGAGCCACGGCCTGGAGTCAGGAAAACCTGAGTCCAAATTTGGCCTCAGACACCTGTTAGCTTAACCTCTGTTGGCCTCAGTTTCCCCAACTGTAAAATAGGAAAATTGATAGCACCCATCTCCCAAGGTTATTTTAAGAAACAAATGCAATACTATTATTTAAATTCTTTGTACAGTGCCTGACATATAGTAAGCGCTTAATAAACACATCTTTCCTTCTTCCAATGAAAGTATTTCTTAGATAACTAGATGTTGTGAGACATCTAGTTGTTCTATTGAATTCAGTTCAATTGCATAGGTCTCCAATACTGGTCTGGGCACATGGGGCAATAGCCTGGATTGATGCTCATGTCTCTACAATGAGAATTCTTAATTCATTTTGGTGTCAGTCATATGCTTGATACGGGGCTCCACAGAAGAAAAGGGCCCTTTTGCTCCAAGGAATGGGGGAGAACAGAGCATAAAAGGTAACACACAGCTAATAGTTAACACCTACATAGTGGCATATTATCTTGTTTGAAATGCATAATCACCCTGTTCAGTAGATACTATTATTATCCCCATCTTAAATACGGGGAAACTTGGGCCAACAGAGAAGTGATTTACCTAGGGTTACACAACTACTAAGCATCCATGGCAGGATTTGAACTCAGGGCTTCCTGACTCTAAGTCCAGAATTCTAGCCGCCATACCATTTAATTGGCTACAAATATTAACTATTCAGGGTAAGACTGAGGGAAGCTCAGAATCCTAGAGAGCTGTGCCAAGGGGAAACCAAGCAATCCCAGAGGAATTTGGATAAGCTACAATTTCTTTGACCTAGTCTTCTGTTTTATTGCCTCATTTTCCCTATTTCCCAACCAGCTATCCTATTCCTTGGCTTCACAATCTCTGATCCCTTTGTCTAAGTTGGATATGTCAGAAGTTGAGTCATCTGGGACATTACTACTGACTAGGGACAAGATCTATCTTGAATTCACCGGTGCGTCTATCTTTCTACCTCTCTCAGACACACCCCCAAAAAGTTGGGGTCACAAATATAACTCCTTGGAGCTCTTGGGAGCTACTGCTCCTCGGCTGGAGAAAGTGCAAAGACAGAAGTCCCTTCTGCTCTCCATACTCACCACCCTCTGATGCTTTCCCAACCAGTGACTCCCGAGTCAAAGAGGGGCATTATCTCTTCTCTGAACCCTCAGCTTTCACTATAATCTGTCATGGGGTAAGGTAGAGAGGAAGAGTATAAGAATTCTTCATCCTCACAACTAAGGGGGTTATGGGTGAAGAATCGTACATTGGGGCTATTCTTTGCCCCCGGCCCCAGTCTGGGTTCTACACACTTTACAGGCAAAGCAGTGAGGGAACACCCGGTGCTATTCAGAGGCTCCTCTCTGGGTTGTAACTCTGACACCTTCCCCCTCACACTCAGAGAAACCTATTTTGGGCTCTTTTGGGAGGCCCAGCTGTCTCAGGGAGATGACAGCTCGAGTGGACCTATTTGTACTAGCTTTTTCTCCTCACAAGGGTAAGGGGAACAAGACTAGTTGGGGAGAGAAACACTTGGAACGGCACTGGAAGCTGGGACAGAAATATGTTTGGCCAATCTAGTCTCCATTAAGGACATAGAAGTAGGCAGGTCCCTGAGACACTTTTAGCCAGGCCTTGGCAGTTATGGTCTAAGAATAATTTAAAAATAATGACATAAAAAAAAAACAACTGAGACCCTATCCTCAGCCCAAATGAAGATTCTGTTGATGCATTCAAGGCATTTTCGTATCTACCCTCTTACTTGTCCTCACTACATACCTTTGACATAGGGAATATTCTCCATTTTTTTTAATATACAAAAAGCAATTTGAAAAGAAATTTTTGAATTGATTTGTCCAGGGTCAGCCAAAAGGATAGGCTCCTCTAAATCCTAAGTCGCCGCCCAAACCATGCTCCCTCCCCACCCCCTTCCCCACCCAAAAAACAAGAAACCTGATTCTACCCTTGAGGCCAAAGCTATTTTGTCGTATTTTCTGCTTTCATCGGTCCATTCTTTATTATCTTTGACTATTATCTATTATTATAAATGTATCCTCTTTTCCCAATTAGACTGAATTCTTTGAGAACAAGTTTAGTGTTGATGTTAATTCAAGGTATTTACCAGAAATTTTATATATTTTGCATTTAATTTTCTGTTTACATGTTGCTTCCTATTACTATGCCTCTCCTCCCCCAACACACAGGGAGGTCCCAGGTGTAGAATCATTTCCGCAAAGCAGGTCCACAAGGCAGGAGGAAAAAGCTTTATGAGTTCCCAGTTTTATTCCTTACTAACAATGAGAAAGGTTAAGCTATATTATCACTTAATTGACTAAAGCCTAAATTAACAAAATTAGTCTTTGTATACTAACTAGAATTTCTAGATGCTTAATTTAACAAACACTTCAATCTTTTGCCCTGGTATGGATTGCAACTCATTTATGCCTTCTCGTTCTATTCATGCCATCACATATTTTGCAGCAAATATGCATTGAAAGCTTATACTAGGAATTCATTAAGTATTTATTAAACACTAACTATGTGCCCGGCAATGAACTATAACCAGGAGACAAAAAGAACAAAACAAAATATCCCAGGCTCTCAAAAAAAACTTACTTTCTATTGAAGGGAGGAAATGGGAAGGAAGTAACAAGTGAATAAAAAAATACAAATGATATAAAGAGTTGATACAAAGTAATTTCTAGTAACTAGCTAGAATTTGTATCATTGTAACAGACATTTACAATCATCCTATGGATAGGGCTGTCTGTGCTAGATCCTGAAGTAACCAAGATACCTGCTCTTAAAGAACTCAAAGAATCTAATTAGGGAGAAAGAACACATTAATGGTAAGAAATAATACAAAGTAGCAAATGGTAACCACCATATAAGCTCGGGACTAAGAGGCAACTACTGCAGGCATCCAGGGGAAGAAGATTCTTG